CCCAAGATTCGACTTTCCACTAAAGCTTATCGCCCCAATTTGAAATTCGCTAGAACCCTCGCTGTATACCCTCTAAACCCTGAAGCCATTAAGCTTATAAGCGGCCCACGATCAGGACAGCCAGCTGCCTTCGATGGATGAAGCAGAGGGGCTCGAAGCCTCGGTTGGGGGCGAGCTCGGGTCGCAGGCCAGGCCTTTCCAGTGAACGGCTTTTGGCTTTTGAGGTCACAGGTTGTGCAACCTGCTTTAGGGTTTAGGGTTTAGGGTTTATTTTTATAAGTTTAGGGTTTAGGGTTGTGAAGCTTTTTCTGCTGTTGGTGGCATGAATGGTGAGAGCCATGTACAGGCTCCGGATGACGGTGCCGAGCCCACGGCTACGATTGATGCTGATGGTGTGAAAGATGCAATGCCAGAGCCAACGGCAGCTGCTGGTGATGAGCCAGATGGCAGCCTGGATGAGCAGGACCCGTCAACATGGGGCCTTCGAATCCGATACATGGGTGATAGATATGATACGGGTAGATAGTGGCTAGGGTGGATAGATAGGCAGGTATGGGCATGATGATCGGCTGGTGGTTTCTATAATCATCAAACTCAGTCCGAAGCTTCGAGGAGCCGGAGAACCCGGATGCAGCACCCCTACTTGCTGAAGAAGCAGTCCAGCTTCCTGAGCAAATCCGTGCACAGCTGAGCGACTTCGGCGTCGATGCCGATTTGCAGTTGTTCTTTCAACAGAGAGCATTGAAAGCCCAAGCACGTCAGCAGAAAGCAGAGAAGACTCTGCAAAGCTTCTCGGTACAATAGCCCGCTAAAACATGTGGACCATTGCATGAGCCCCTGTCACACATTAACGTTCGCATTGAGGTGCCGCCAAGGCGCAAGCCCGGGCAGAAGCCAAGGCAGCCAAGGACCAGGCGAAGCAGCAGGAAGGAGAGCCGGGGCCGAAGGCCCTCCCGAAAAGGAAGGCCAAGGCGAAGAGCGCCAACAAGCGCAAGGCAGAGGAACCGGCTGCCTCGGCTGGGGATAGCGAAGCATCTGCAGCTCAGCCCAAGAAGGCAAAGCTTGCAGCCGCTCGGTTGAACACCTTAACCCCTCACCTCGTTCCTGCGAGATGCCTCGATAGCTGAGGGTACGATTGAGAGCATCATGCCCGAGCTCGAGCCAGTCTTCAAGCTGGGGTTGGTGCGACCGGCTAGCAGTCAGCTGAAGCAGAAGACTCTTGTCTGGCAGTGCATAAATATATCTGCTGCCTGCTCAGAGCTGTTTAAACAGCTGCTAGATACATCTGCTATGTGACCGAGGTCCTACCTCATGGCACCCCCGGAGACAGCGAGTGGTGGCTCCAAGATCCAGGTGATTGCGCACCAGAACCATTATTATGTGGTCAAGACATCCCTTTCCCCTCTTGCTGTTCTGGTGTGTGAGCACTTCGAGCTGCAAGTGCCTCGACCCATTAGTTGCTTCCGTGATACAGTATATCATTTTCACAATCATGCATAATTTGTACTCAAAGCTCCCTTGTGCTAGGTGAACGAAAAGAAAGGCACGAATGTGAATTGGAACAAACACGGGTTCGAGTTCGCCTTCAAGATTGTGAAGATCATTGCAGGCTGGTTGCCAGAGCCCGCCGAGCTTCCAAAGCCTGGCCGAATCGTGTCTTTTGTAGAGGCTTGCAAGAGCAACTAGCCACCTGCTGGGGTTTGTGCTGGCTTGGTTTTGTTGACAACTCCGAGCTTGCTAATAAATTACTGCAGAGTTCTTGTGCTGCTTGTGATGCCAGATAGCACAAGAACCGCCAGCACAGCTCTGCCTGCAAGGGTCCCTGGAATTCTCAGGAAATTAAGTTGGGCAAAGCTCAACTTTCTGGGGGGCACAGCAGCTTCGAAGGAGGCTTTCAAAAATGCACGAACATCAGTGGCATTCCAGAATAGGTGCCGGCTCTGCAGTAACCTAGATCCCTCAACCCCAAGACTGCAATCCATTCTACAATATTCCGACACCAAAATCAAAACCCCGAACCCCGAAACCCTAAACACCAAAACCCTAAATTAAAGCCTGTAAATCCGGAAAGCCTAAAGCTGCAAAGTGCCAGACGCCGAAACACTAAACCGCACAATCGCAAAACCCAACCTGAAACCCTATATTATCCTTACCTGGTCGCCTTGCTTTGGCTTTGCAATCTCATGAGTCAGGGTGCGATTTTTGTCGTCGCGAGTAGCTTCAAGAATTCGTGTTCAGAATTCAGCTTTATCAGGGAACTCTATATATGTTCGGAAGCAGAGTCTTAGAGGATGTTGGGGTGAAGAAGTGGTCTGTTTGAGTAGGTCGAAAGGATGGATGTCCATCCCCTCTCACTCAGTGGGAACGCCTGTGCCATGTTGCTGGCGATGGGAGCTCCTGCGGTTATGCTACTTAGATGCTACATTGTAGCTCCCAAACCTGATTGGCTTCAGAACCTTACAAACATCACGGCAAACCTCAAAAGATACATACTACACATACATATATATATATATAAACCCTAGACGCTGAAACCAACTACAACCCTCTAAACCAACCCTGGGCCCCTTTACCTCTAATCCTGGTGACCCTATATAATAGGACACTCTCGAAACCCAAATTTAAATGGTTCCTCTGTTGATCTTATTGGCCTGTGTACCTGAGGCTCCAAGCTTGCCATTATGTTGCGACCATTGCCCACACACAGCTCGACCCTTGCATCAGAGCTGCAGCCTCATCTGGAGTTGGCAATCGGTGCCGAACAGTGGCAGCATGCAGTAGCAGCAGAAGTTACCTGAGATTGGATCATGTGTTTGAGGATATCACGGTTCTCGAATGCTTCAGTGGCTCTGCTCGCATTGGGGCAGCATTCCGTTCAGAACTTAGCACAGGTTTGCATTTGTGTGATAGCAAATGCACTGATCATGAGAATGGGGACCAGTTAATTATTGTGTTGCCGGCTCAGGTGCTCAGGGTGCCAGGGCGCAGCCTAGTTGCATTCGATAATGTCACCCTTCCTACACGATGTGTGCCTTTTCCCAGGAGCACCTACGACAAGGTGAATGACCCGATTTGCCAAGATCTAACAACACTTGCTGGCTTTTTGGGCCTCATTAAACGGGCTCTTCGATTGGAGCCAGGAGGACTACTATGGCTTGCCAATCCCTGCCACATGCATGTGTGGATGTCGTCCAGTGTCCACCAAAGGGGTCCAGAACGGCCGTGGGGAGATGTGAGCAGAGACAGCAACTTGCCAATAGTCTGTACTGAGTGGATGCTGTTTGATCCTTGTGGTGCCTCGGCCCCACGTGCATTATCTAAGGTGTTCGCCGCAGTAATTGTATCACATCGAGAGCCTGCCTCATCCTCTACCTCATCACTTGTCGTGGGGTCTGGTCTGCAATTGAGCAACCGGTTTCGAGCACACTGAAGTTTGTGCCGTATTTCCTGCATCTTCGAAAACTCTTGCTGGCATGCAACGGCGAGATGTGGAAGTACTGCAGCTTGTTCCTTGGATCGCACACTTGAGTGATGATGTTAGCAGTCTATAGCAAAGATCCTAGATCATGTCCAAATCTAGGCCCAGGCTTAGCTGTATTCTTGATGTTGTCAACCAAGCTGGATGGGGTTATATGGTCACGACAATGCAAAGCCCAGCTACTGCATCGGCTCCTCGCGAGGGTCTCAATTGACCGGTTCAACCCCCCTGCAGAAATCCTGAAAAGCTTTCTGTGTACAGATGAGGCGATGGATCATGAAGCTGAAGAATCGGATGACACGAGAAAGCCGCTCAAAGTACCAAACAGCAGCCAAGAAGGTTGTTGTTAGGAGGAAGCGCAGTGATGGGACAACTGCAGTGTGGGGGGCCTACACTCAAGCATATCGAGTATCTGTCTGGTCTCGGGCAATCCGTCTACCAACTAAGAACTGGGACCAAACACCTCACCGCGACGCAATCTTATCCCGAAGGCTTTGCTAAAGCTGTCGCTACCCTGCACTTGCAAGACACAGAAAGGGCCTCTTAGCAGCAAAGGGCAAACTGCAGAGGGCATGTAGATCATAGCGAGTATGATACAAGATCATCTATATACTGTATCCGAGGTGTCTCAGCCCCTGGGCTGACTCTCGAGGGCATACTCAATGCTCAGTTAGAGGCCAGTTCGCAATATGTTTTTCAGGCAGTTTAATTACTTGATGCCCCACAAATCCCTGCCTTCTGGCTGTATCCTAGGACTCCCCTGGCAAGTGGACTGAAGCTGAGCTCGGCGAGCTGCAAGAGTTTCTCGTGTCCGAAGCCAGCAAAGGTGCCTGGAAGCCGCTAGAAGGGGTGCCGCTGTAGTGTCTACATGTTATAAACCAAGGTCATCCGTGAACCTATTATAACACACTCTAAATATCACTTGGAGGTTCATGGGTAGTTGTTTTAAGTGGAGCTATAAGTCCCCTCATATGGGTTATTACCCTCCGATACTTTATAACCCTACGTATATACTTATAACTGCCCATGAACCTCCAAGTATTCACACTGAAAGTTTGAGCCGTCGGTTTGCCTCCCTGACATACTAGCAGGCCTGTGGAATTGATTTGATTTTGGATTACAGCAGTGTCGGGTTGAGGACTTTAGGGCAGGTTGTTGTGCTGTTGGTTATAACATTAGCATAGTATACATATGCACAATTGAATTGTTTTTTTTGGGCTTTCTGCTTTCTCTCTCGGATCGGGGTTTGCTTGCAGGACTAAGAAGTTCAGGCATGTCGGGACAGTGATCAGGGTGTTTTGGGTGTCGCTGATGTCAAGTTCTGGGATATATTCTGTGGCAGCATCGGGGCCCTCAGGCTTTGCAGGTCTTCGCTGACCAGCTGTTGCAATTGCCGGGTCTCGGGTCAATGTCTTGCCTATTATCCTGACCGATGGTACGAAATCCTGTATTACATCATTGCAATTGTCATGTAAATATATTATTAGCACCAAAACCCAAATTTACATTACCCAAGACCCGCAACCTTTCGCTGCGACTGCTAGCTATTTAGAAGCTGCTTAGAGGCTTCGAAGCGAGCTGCAGATTCTGGACTGCAAAGCACTATATCCCTTATCAGGGTCTTCAAGTCCTTAATAATCATTTATCTGAATCTAAACCCTATATACATACATATCTATTCTACGCAATAAATCTTGATTTATACTCATGATCCTCCCGAGACCCATTACCTGAATTATCATATATGTTGAAGCACTGGCAGTACCAGACACTCCAAAATTCGAGCAAGTTGCTGATGCCAAAGCGACACCTCGGAGCTGGGTTCCAGAAGGTTTGGGCTTGAAGGGCATCTTTACTGTTGCTGTGATTATATACTACTTGTACGACTATTCGAGTGGTTGGTTGGGGACTCCGGCTGGGGCAGGCTGGGGGGGTGGAGTGGCGGGGGTCAGCCCTACCGAGAGGAGCCAGGCACATCAAAAACGGCTCCTCCACACCGTTGGCCAGGTGTGGGGCAGTAGTGCGCATGACCGCAGCAGATCCTCCTTGAGGCCAACGTGCCAGCGCCGGCACATGACAGTGGGGCAGTGCGCTAATGTGCCCACTGGGGAATGGACTGCTGAGGGCCCTGCGGGCAATCTGTCAGGTGTTGCGGCTACCAGGACGGGAGGCCCGACTTGTCTTTGAGCATGCTGTGGTGGTGGTGGTGGTGGTGGTGGTGGTGGTGTGGGTGGCGGTGGCAAGTTTTCTGGGGCTCGGCCCGAGGACCATGCCTGCTTTGACAAACCTGATGCTCATGGTGCTTGCCGCCCTCACACAGCTGATGTTCATGATGCTGCTTGTGGTGGCGAAGTTTGTGGGCCGGGCCTGGGCCTTGCTAGTAGCAGTAGCAGTAGCAGCAGTAGCCAGAAGTAGTAGTAGTAGTAGTAGTAGTAGTAGCTAGTACTAGTAGTAGTAGTAGTAGTAGTAGTAGTAGTAGTATAGGTAAGTAGGTAGGTAGGTAGGTAGGTAGGTAGGTAGGTATGTAGGTAGGTAGGTAGGTAGGTAGTTAGTTGGTTAGTTGGTTACTTGGTTACTCGGTTACTTGGTTACTTGGTTGGTTAGTTAGTTAGTTAGTTAGTTAGTACTTAGTACTGTAGTTAGCATAGTAGTAGTAGTAGTCGTCGTCGTCGTAGTAGTAGTAGTAGCAGCAGTAGCAGTAGCAGCAGTAGTAGTAGTAGTAGTAGTAGTATAGTAGATAGTGTCATATTAGATATTGCTGCCTACGACATCCCAAGCCCTAGAAGCCCTACTGAACTTCAAGACCTGAGAGTAATGCCCATGGAACCAGCCACCGATTGTTCCTGTGCACAGCAGTGCAATTCGTTTGTGCAGTGGTGTTGTGCTCCAGGAACCGAAGTTGCTTGCCATCCGATCACTATAGCTAGTTAAAACCCGAGATTCGTGCCCAAAGACAGACCAGCATAATATTACAACCCAGAGCAAAGCCCGAATTGTTGTAGCTAGCAAGGGTTTTTGACCCAGCCCTTTTGCCAAGGCTCCGAAGTAAGCCTGTCGGTCGCCATACACAGAAACAGCCCGCGATAGATGCCGTTAGACCGCGATATTCTGCGTTAGAAATAGGACGAAAGACCTTCTGAGACAAGGTCTCGCGATATTCCGCGTTAAACCGCGATATTCCGCGTTAAACCGCGATATTCCCTCCAAGCCGGTCCCGGGTTTGCTCTCCCTAAGCCCCAAAACCCAAACCCCAAACCCCAGAGACCCCCAAATCAGCAAGCTCAAGCCCCAAACCCAAGACCCGAATCCTAGACACCCCAATTTGGGCCTAAAACCCATCCCCAAAAAGAGAAACCGAGTGCTTGAAATCTCGCCAGGGCTATTGAGGGCTACGTGGCTTTGTCTATCTATATATATATATATTTAAAGCTATATTTACTAGACTTGATTAAGGAGTGCAGCCAATATAACTTATTATATAACTACAATTATAGATCTTATGCTATACCCCGAACTTAAATTTGTGCCTAGCCCCCTAAACCCATGATCACTAGGCCCCTTACCCACCGGAGCAGCTTCGACACCTCAATTTGAGCAGGGAGCTGAAGTCAGCTGATGCCAGAGATGTGCAGCCGGCCAGGATAAAGTGATGAATCCTTAGAAGTGAGCGGCACTGTTCCTTGTAGATCTACTTAAGTGTGTTGTGAAGTGCCTCGTGATGAGTGCTCAAGTCGGTACCTAGCTGTTAGCTGTAGGTTTGTGTGGAAGCATGGGAAAGCGAGGAGGGGGGGCGGAGCAGCCGATCCCTGTGTCAGCACGTGTGCAGGAAATGGTGGAGAAGGCACAAGCGAGAAGAGGTCGCATGGCCTCTGCCTCGCCCACGCCTGTGCCCAAGGAGCCCTCCACACGGCAGGTAGCCACCCCAACCCGTTCCAAGTCCCGGGGCCCTCAAGAAACCATGCCACCTCCGGCACCCAAGATGTTTGTTGAGAACTCCTCCGAGCCTGGTGGGAAGACTTGTGACACACCCCGCAAGCAGCCTGTCCGAACAGTCTCCCAGACGTCTGTCGACACACCCTCCAAGCAGCCTGTCCGAACAGTCTCCCAGACGTCTGTCGAGACACCCTCCAAGCAGCCTGTCCGAACACTTTCACAGACGACTGTCGAGACACCCTCCAAGCAGCCTGTCCCAACACTTTCGCAGGAGTCTGTCGAGACACCCTCCAAGCAGCCTGGTGGAACACTTTCAGAGAGGTCTGTCGAGACTGTCAAGACACCCTCCAAGCAGCCTGTCCAGACTCCGTGCAAGCCGAAGCCCATGCTGCTGGACACACCAGCCAAGCTGAAGCCTGTCGAGACACCCTCGAAGATGTCTATCGTCGACGAGACCCCTCAAAAGCATCAGATGCATGAAACACCCCAGGTGCCCATGTCTGTCGGCAGCACCATGAGCACTCCTTTGAAGTCTCCTGATTACAAGCGGCTCCGGCTGGGACCTTCCGAAGAGACCTTGCCCAGCATGCCTTCGTTTGAAGTCCAAACCCCAAGCAGCTACCGTCATGCTGACACGCAAAGCACAATTGCAGAGCAGTTTGGTGAGCTGCATCTTGGCTCCCGAAGCTAGGCGCAATTTAGTCTGATGTGTCTGATCTGTGCCTATATATGTAGACATGTAGCTACTAAACTAATATCTCCAAGTACATGCCTACCTGAGGCGAGTCTTTGGAGATGCCTCCGAGCCCCACGCAAGAGGACCGGGATCGTGATTGGTGCGAAAAACCCTAATTTATAAACCCTAAACCCTAAAACCCTGAAACCCTAAAACCCCTTGCACGAGCTTAAGCCCGGGACCCATCTAATAAGGTTCATAGGGTCTATATAGATATTAGGGTTTAGGGTTTTTCCTTGCTATACAAGGTTAACCATTGAAGACCTGATGGTGATGTGCTGTTGGCTGAAAACCCATGCACCCTAATTATATAAGACCTTATATATGTGTGTATATATATATATATATTTTTATTATAAATTAAGTCTGGAAATTACATAATTACAAGCCTGACTCTGTAGTGTGGGTCGTCCGTAGTGACAATATGCTTTGAGCATAATCTGCTTGTTTATGAGGCCACTGAAGTTAAATAGCTGTTGTTATTATAGGCTTTAAAAAACTTAAATACTTATGGGGTTTGTAAATAATATGTACATACAAATCCCGAGCCCGAAGCCCTGAATCCACAGGAGAAATGCCACACATGTTCCAAACCATGCAATGCCATGGAGATGATCAAGAAAGACCCTTGGATTGCAACAAGGGGTAGCTGAGTTTAGGCTGCTCATGTCGAAGTTAAACCCACATGCTGTGATAAGGGATCGACTACTTTCTGCAGCTGCGAGTGCCTGCTGATGAGCATGCAGCCCAAGCCCAAGCCCGGAACCGAGAGCCCACCACGGGCCAGTGTGCAAACGTCGGCCAAAGTGAATCTTGCCTCGCCCGGACAGAAGGAGCATCGTGCAGAGGTGACGACACATGTGGAGCTCACGAATTCCAAGGGTGGACTGTCGGCTTCGACAGATACCTCTGTCGAGGTGTCAGTGCCAGCCGCAGCTGCGAACCCAGGCGCAGACGATCTAGAGCAGGAGTTGGAAAGAATGGTTGACACTGCAACAGCTGCTGGGGATCAAGTGGTGTGTTTGGCGAAACCCACCCCAAAGCCCGAGCCGTCGACGGCCGCCGCGAACAAGACCGAGAAGGAGGAGAAGCTGGAGGCTGTCAGCTCCATGATCCAAGAGATGCTGAAGAGGCCAGGCACCATCGACATCGAGGCGTTGCAGAAGGCAATGGGCGAAGCCTCGACAGCACAGGCCGAGAAATCCGAGACGACCGCAAAGCCGCCGGGACCAGACTCAACGGCACAGGCCGAGAAATCCGAAGAGACCGCAAAGCCGCCGGGACCAGACCCAAGGGCACAGGCCGAGAAATCCGAAGAGACCGCAAAGCCTCGGGGACCAGACCCAACGGCACAGGCCGAGAAATCCGAAGAGACCGCAGCTGTGCCCGATCCCGACAGCAAACCCAAGAAGAAGAAGAAGCGAGAGATGACAGATGATGAGCGCGAAGCCCACAACTACTACATGAAGTTCTACAGATCCTTGCGCCCCCCAGATGTATATCAGTAGAGGAACTAGGAGGTTCGCCACATGCAGTTCTAATATAATTAATAATATAATTTATGCCGAAGACCCTAGTTGCTGCAGCTCAGGTTCAAGCAGTTGCCCGCCGGAGGTCGCCGAGAAAGCGTTTGATGCAAGCGGGAGGAGCCGTGCCTGGGCTACATTTATATGGGCTTAGTCGATCATCCAAATAGAGCAAGACCGCCGGGTTTGAGATAGTGCTTCAGTGCTTCAGGTGGGACTCAGATTATGCGACACCTCTTCGAGCAGTTCGCGAGTGCCGAGGGGAACTGGCAGAATTCTGCCATTATGCTCAATGTGAGATCAAAAAAAAAGGGCACTCGCCACGGCAAGTACATATGGCGGAAGTATGAAGATGTGAAGGCGCAGTATCTTGATCAAAGCTATATTCGGCTGCAACCTTAATTCTAATTTATAACACTGATCCCACTTACAACTGAGGTTTGGGGAGGCTGTGGGCAAGAACATCTATGAGGAGAAAAAGGCGGCCGATCCCAACATGACCGGGAGATGGGTCATGAAACACCCAGATCAGAAGGACAAGGAGGACTTGAGCCTTTCTAAAGCTTCCTTAGACCCAATACCCTCCACCCTGCTATTATAATTAGATATATAGATAAACAAGCCTACTAACTTGCCTGATCATCGAGAGCTTGATGCCAACACCCAAGTAAGAAGGTTTTGTGGGTGCCACAACAACCCACTTGAAAATACTGCCACTATCCCTAGCCCCGGACCCTCTTGATCAATATATGCTTGTAATTATTACATTGTGCCACCCAAAACCCTTATTAACAACCCTATCCCAAAACATGCGGCCCCTAAACCCTAAACCCTAAACTCGAAACCCGAGAGACTGCAAAAGCTTGAACTCCAAACCCTCAATGTAAAATCTTCGAGCTGGTGGGGTTCTCCTGTTCACCTCTCCTCAGGACTGGATTCTTCTGAAGTGCTTCGATTCCAAAACCGAAACGAATGACTCCGAGAGCGAGACAGAGTTCGCTCTCGAGCAAGAGGTGGGCTTGGAGGGGTCTGCAGCGGCTTCGGCTTTGTTCCTCTGATAAACTTAGCTGTAGTTTCGGGCTTCAGAATTCAGATTGGGTTTAGATGTCTTAAAAGACTATTGTTAGTATATTCTTGTTATTATATTTATAATAAGAATTTTAAGTTATATATATATATAGTAATATTTATTTATTGATTTATTTATTTACTTATTATTGTTATTCCTATTATTGTTGTTATCATTATTATTATGGTCTAGCAATTTTCAGCTTATCCCCCAAGCTGCTGGTTTCAGCTGTGAGAATCTATCCCTGATAGCATCAAAATAGCCCGAAAGTCTAATTATATTATAGGGTCTTTGGGGGCCCAAAAGCCTTAAAATATGAGTCCTTAGAGGGTAATTGGGTATTATATCAATTATATGGGCTCCGACACAACTCCAGACCCGAAACAACACCTAAACCTTATGTTGCTGCACGCCGAGGAAGCACATCATGAGCGATCGCAGCAGCGGCCAAGATCCTGATCACAAGCCGAATCCCGCGAACAAGGGTGAAAAGAAGCAGCCCAAGCCGAAGTCGGTTGTGCAGGAGGCTTGGACCCGCTTGAAAGCCGCAGCCGTGAAGCTTACCGAAGCTGATGGTTTGGAGCTGAAACTGAAGAACTCAGGGATGCAGCTCGCCATTCATATGTTACAGACATGTCATTCCTGTGTCATGTCCGTGGCCATACTACTTGAGCTGATACTTGATTGTGAGTGATATCTGAGGGGAAACCAATTCGTGGATGCTCTGATGGCCGATTCGGACCAGGTGATCCAGACCTTGAAGGCCAGTTATGCTGCTTTGAAGGAGTGCATCTCTGGTGACCTGAACGACGACGCCAAGCTCAAAGCGACGACAGATCTGACGAGTGCTATCAATGCATTCGATAGCAAAATGAGGTCTGTGAAAAAGGCCATGCCATCGGAGCAGAATCCCAAGCCCAAGGCCAAAGGAAAGGCTGCAAAGAAGTAGGGCCGATTTCAAGTGTGTGGCTGCGACCACACCGCTTTTGGTTCTTGTGTGCAGTGAGCAAAAGCTACACTCACTCGGATGAGATTTCATCCAGGGGTGGCGGGATATTATCGGCTGCTGCCTGAACTGCTTAGTTGGCCTGGGAGGTCGTGCTAAATTTCATTTGTAGCTAGAGCATAATACAACATGTTGTTTCCCCTAGCAAAGCCACCAGGTGCTCGTGCAGTTTAATCAGGCATGCAGCTTAGGATGTGAACCTGCCTCGGCACTAAGCACATGTGTGTCTGCGAAACCGGGAAAGAGTCAGGCTTGCCATTAGGGGGTTCTCTGATGTCTTGCAAATATACAGTGCACTGTCCGCTTCTACGATCCCTCCGCAGGTGTGCCGGGTGCAATCAAGCGCCGATTACTTGCTGGTGTCGGCACTGGTGCCGCTAGACAAAAGTCCCGGTCCTGCAGCAGTCAGCAGCAGCTTGAGCAGCGCAGTTCAGTCAGCAGCGCATCGAGCCGAGGAATTCAGTTCCTTGGCTGCTCAGGACATCGCAAAAGCCATCGAGTCCGCTGCTTGGCTATGGGGGTGATTGTGGCTTCTGGGATTTAGGGTGAGAGGCTTGGGGTTAGTTTTCTGCAAAGATTCAGGATAGACTGTGCGGTTTTCTATTATTGTATTGGGTGCTCGAAACGAAGCCGGGTAGTGGTAGATATACAAGTACTTATGTATTATTAGATAGATGCTTCCTGGTTCTTATAATTATCACGATAATTACGGTCTAGGTGTTATGGGTTTTATGTGTGCAATGGTTTTCCCAAGCCCTTCATCGAAACTATGCACGGTCTATCCTGGAAACTGAACTTTAGATTGAAAACCCCCCATGGCCTGCTCAATCGTACTCAGTCTGCCAAAGCCCCTCAAGCCCTGAAAACCTATACCCTCAAACCTAAACCTATATAGCAATAGAAGGTAAAGGCCAAAACCCATAATACCCCAGCTGCCCTAGCTATGCACGACCATAAACCGAGAAGTTCTAAACCTGTTATAAAGCCCCAATTAGCCTCTAAACCCCAATACAGCTTTCTTGCTCAGGAGTTTGGCAGCCAAACCCCTGGTACTGTTCAGCAACTCTTTACGTGTGGCAATTCTGGCCAGCAGCCTGGCAATGTGTGGCGGGACATGAAAGGTCGAACGGCATCCAACTGGGTTGCTTGCTTGCACTAGTCACTGGTATCAAATTAGCATGGCTGCACAAATCGAGTGAGGTCAACCCACAACAATGTAAAGTTTACAGTAGTTTTGCTTTGGAGTGTGTGTGTGTGCCTATCCGATTCTGCGATCATGATTCGAAGCCCAGGATCTTCCTTTGGACACTGTGTCTATCCCTGTACGATCGAAGCCGCACCTCAAAAAGTGTATGGAATCCAAACATGAGAACTTGAGCATCGTCCCTCCACACCTTTTGACTAGCTGGTTGTTGCACAATGGCTACATTCACTTCAACCAGACCAAAGGCCGTGAGTACTGGGAACATCATCGCCGCCAAGGTTTCGCCTGGATGCAAGGGCCGGCAGCAGAGCATCCTGAGCTGTCCGAGTCGAACCACTTCCAACCCGTATCCTTGTATGCAGATGAAGCAGAGTACACACTGTCAAAGGAGAAGATAACCATTCTTTTCATGAGCTCCCTGTCCTAGTAGTGGGCTCTGAACTTGATGACTTTATGCTATTTATCATCCTAAAGCCCTAAAACCCTCAAGCCCTAAACCCTGAGGATCCCTAAACCTGTAAGCCCTAATAATATATTGTTAATCTGAACCTTAATTGTTTGTCCAGGTTTTCCTTTGTATGAGGACAGCAAAACAGTCTTTGACACACGCTTTCCCATATGTGTTCTGCGAACGGAGAAATCACTGGGTGAGCAAAGCTGGGGGCCCATATGGTCCTATGTAGCCTACAGCATCAACCTGATGTATCACGGGAACTATCCGACGATGTCTTTTGACAACACCCCTCTAAAACCCTGTGGATGTTACATCCCTGGAAAGCCGATGTACGAGTCTCACGGCCAGAACATTCGATTCCGGCTGACAGAAATCCGCGGGGATTGGAAACACCACCAGCAAGTATGGGGGTTGGTCAAGGCAGCCTTTACCTCCAACAACGTTTGCCATATCTGTGAAGCTTCGAGGGCAAACCCGGCTTGCAGCATGCTGGAGTTCACGCCTCAACCGGCATGGTCGCACACCATTCGCTCCCATAGGGTTTTCTTAACTGAGATCTTGGGAAGCAATGCTTGCAGCCTCATCTACATCAAAGGCTTTCACTATTCCATGATACGATGGTGTTCTATGCACGCCATACAGCTTGGAGCCGGTTTATTCAACAATGGTGGGTGCTTTTATGAATTGATGAAGGTTTCTTGGTTTCCAGGCGGCACAGTGGCTGACCGCTACCGGAATGCATTTCGCAACTTCAAGGACTTCTGCAGTCGTCACAAGATCAAATGTGGACAGCCGATTTTCAAATCGTGGATGTTTGTCAACAGTGGCGAAGAGAGCTGCTCCTTTCGGAGCAAAGATCCTAGATCAGAATATTGTAGCATGTGTTCATTTTAAATTCACCCAACAGGTGTAGCAGTACTTACTCGACCTCATGGTTCACTTATACTACATATATATGTGCTAACGAAGCCAAGTTTATGTCATGATCCGGAAACCCAAACCAACAACCGAGTTAGTTATCACTCACAAGCACGGAAAATTGGGAAAGTCTAGCTCCGAAAACAAAACTCCCTTGACCCAACCTCATACCTCCTCAACTCGAAACCACGACCCTCTAAGCTTTGCCCAAAATCCCAAGCATAAGGTCTTGTCAATATCCCAGATTTGAAGCCTTGGTTTCAATTGAATCTGGATATCCTATAGCATCCAAGGCATTTAATAGCCGGATAATCACTTCGTGGCTTGCAAGCGAGATGGCTGCTGCGGCAGAGCATCACCGGACGGAGCGGCTCATACTGGGAGCCCAGGCTTGCTGGGCCCTTCATGCATTCTACTGCAGACTCGAAGCATCGAAGCGCTATCCGTCGCGAAATGATGCTGGACGTTAACCATAGTGCGGCATGGATGCTCTGTCCAGTTTTTCTGACTTTAAATTTTCCATATATATGTATATATACATATTGAAAATGCAGTTCCTGAGCCAAGGAAGCCCAAGGCTTGGTGGATGTTTGCCTGCTTCACTTGCAAGCCTACTCGAAGCTGGCCAAGCAGGCAGCTGATGCTGGTGAGTGCCCGATCTTAAATATGTATATTGCATCGAAGTCGTTGTGTGAGTTTTGGAGCTAAAGCATTTTTTTGTTGTACTTCATCCGAGGATGGCCTGGCAGATACGGCCAAAGCATCACGTGATGCATCACCTGGGTTTGGACATGCTGGAGCAGCGATACTCCTGCAAATATTACCATTGCTTCCGTGACGAAGCTGCCATGAAATATGGCAAACGAATCTCAGCGAAGTTATGCATGATGTCCCATAAAAGCATGCAAGCCAAGTTGTGATGTCAATAGTTCTTTCTCCGAGGTCTAGCACAAAAGTGCCAACAGGATGGTGTCTTGGTTTTTATTCGGCAACTTTTTGAGGAGGCTGGGTACAGTAGCTTCAAAGCAGTGGTTCAGAAGCCCGCCCGCCAAGGTTTGGAGAAAACGCTGCTCCAAAAATGGTACTTGGGGCTTCCCGGCTTCAAATCGAGGTTTGACGACCTCCCTCAAACCCTGAAAGCCCTCTCTTATTTGCCCAGGTACAAGAACGTCCCAGCCAAGCTGCGCAATGGACAGCTGAGTAGCTGTGGCGGCCGCCGGGCGTAGCGGGGTATGGCGGGTACAGGGTTAATAAGCCATATATATAGCGCTAGGGTCTTTAAGCCCTAAATCCCTAATCAGGGTTATAAATTAGATCTCCATGCCCCACTCGCTTATTGAACAGCTGCTTCTAGCTGCGCTGATTCGTGCAATGGCTGGAAACAAAATCCGTCGGCTGTTTCCTAAACCCCTAAACCCCTAAACCCTAAACTCGAGCCTTAAACCCCTAACTTGCCTCAGCCCCCTAAACCATATAATCTTAAACCTTGCACTTCTACACCGGCCAGAGTCCTGCAGCCAAGATGTGGTTTTGGATTAGGGGGGATACGCATCTGGGGTAGGGCTCCGAAGGCTCGAGGCAAAGGAATTTGGTGATGTACAGGCAAGGGTAATGCAGTTTTTGGGATATGGTGGGTCAGTTTCCGGTGGCATCTAACCAAGAAGTCTTACATGAGACGGCTTATATGTCGTTATTTTGATGAGTACCAAAACCACTATCAGCCCGATTCCATATATTTTACTCCAAAACCACTGATGCCGCATATTTCAAGGACTTTGCCGAGACCTTCAAATATGAGGTCTCGGATGCTAAGGGTTATATTATATTATATTATATTATATTTT